GGGCCTATTTTGGCTGTTACTGTGAAGCTTTTATCTTAAGCAGCAGTGGGTACAACAATGTGATGCAGCTGATACAACTCCCTGTGCATTCTATGCCAGCCAAGGGCAGAGAAACTCAAATCAGAATCCAAACTAAGCTTTCCAAGTTCAGAGCCCAATGAAGTGCAGCTGTGACCCCTCCTGGGCTTTTGAAAAAGTACAAAGGGGGAGGGGAAGAACAGAAATTATTGCTCTGCTGACTTTGGTAACAGAAGAATCAACATAAGTGGTCATCATTATTAAGTTAACATTTACTCACAGAGATACCTGAGATATTGCAGATATTTCTCTGTTCCTAGAATAGAAAGTAACTATCATATCTGAGATGCCATTCTGTAATACATGTTGATTGTTAAATGGCAACTAATGTACAGGAAATAATTCAGTATACGGATACTTCTGGGCTTGCCTATGTTGGTAACTATGAATATTCTTCAAAAATTTCTTGCCCTGCTGACACACTGCTTCTCTCTTCAAGGCACTCGCAGCAAATGACATACATTTGCCTCCCTTCATATTCTTCATGCCATCCACAGCTGTTAATTTAACAGGCTGGCTCTTCCAGATAAAGGAGCCATGCGAGGCAGCCGCTCCTATGGCTCAGACTATATTGTGCACACATGCACATTCCAGTAATAGGCTCTGAAGCAGCAGCAGCAGCAGCAACTAGACTCTATTGAACATCTTGGTAGCTATAGAAGAACACTGAGGGGTACTTTCAAAAGTGTTTTTCATTAATGAACACGCACAGGTAAGGTATGCAACAATGCTCCGCCTCAAATTGCTGCCACTGCCTGCTGCTCCATCTCCAATGAACAAGATAATTGAATTTTTAATCCTAACATTTATGTTAAAATGAGCATGGTAATGGATTTAGAAGACACAAGACAGGTAGAAGTATCCAAGGACAGGATCAGTCTCCTCATAGCAACAGGTTTGTAGTCCTAAATTCAGAATTTGTGGGTTGAAGCCCTAATGGCCTATATGAATAGTAGCAATCATAGTAAATACTGACATCAGTAATGGAATAAACCTACTTGTACTCCAGACTGGTGTCAAAGCAGCAATCTTCCAATGCATCAAGGGACTTCATTAGAAGTAAATTAATCTGTTGGCCAGATACATCACTACAAAAAAGAAATAAAATAGAAAAGACACTGTTCAGTTCTTCATGCTGCTTGTGATATTGGGAAGAATGAACTTGCCATTCAACATTATTTTTTATTTGCTAAAAAAATAGATTCTCATTCTATGTAAGTGCACAATTGTTCATTTTTTGTGCTTTCACACAAATACATGTACAGCTGAAGTACACGAATCCACTTCAGAACCCACCATTGTTTCTAACTGGCTCAGTTGTAGTGAGGCAGCACTCACACAGAAGCCCGAGACCTTTACTGCTAACACCAAAAAGGAAGAAAACCACAGTACTACATGCCCCATAAAAATTAGCTGCAGCTGCACCTTTAATTTTTCACAGGCTTAATGTTTTAAGACTTCATTTTGTGGCTCGGTCTTGAAAAGTTGTTCCTTTACCACCAGCACCACAAATGAAAAGCAAAATCCTTGGATCTTATTTGGAGAAAGAGGCCTGAACATCCTGAACTAACCCCCAAGGGATTTCTTGCTTACAGAATGTACTGAAAATCCTCTTAAAGAGTAGGAAGGCTTTGGTGTAAATTATCTCTAGGTTCAACATAAATACTTTTCTAAGTCAGAGTTTGGTAGCTGAATTTAAGGAATATCTACGATAGAGAAAATTTGGGGGCAAAAAAGCAAAAACTGACCTGCCTTAATATGTAAGGAATTTAAAAAAATGTCCTCTCTTGCTATTCTCCTTTCAAAAAAAAAAAAAAAAAAAAAAAGTCAAACTATATTTCAGGTCCCCTGGTACAGTGTGATGATCTAATCCTGTTTTCTCAGAAGGCTTTTATGGCTTATCTGTAGCTCAGTTGTCACTACTGACTAATTATCAAGAGGCAATGTATCCTCAAACTGTGCTGTAGGTTTTTAAAAAGCAGGGCAATCTTATTTTCCCATTATCCCCTTAGTATTGAGTATCAGGGTAGCGCATTAATGCAAAATGCATTTTAGCCAAGGGAGGTGATTCAGAAACCATCAGCTTGAAGGGATAAAAATAATAGATATGCCAGCAAGACCTAAATCAAGTACCTGTATTTTACTAAGGGTGTAAGCAAACACAAACCCTAAAAGTCATGAAGTAAAAACATCCATAGCCTAAGGTGAGTGCCTGAATTTCTTGGCAACATTCAGGAATCTGTGGCAATCATCTTGGAGAGTCTCCTTTCAACCTTGCAGATATGCTGTAGGATAACTTCTACCAAACAGTCCCTGAAAATGCTGTCTTCACCCCACAGAGTAACGATACACTTTCAAGAAGGTCCATTATACTGGATATACACAGCTTTTAGAAAGTTGTGTGTTTCATGATGCAGCCAAGATGTTTAGTATCAGGTGCAAGTAACCAGACATTCTTGTTGTATGTCATACTTCTGCAGCATATAGCTTAACACAAACAGTGACAATCATGTTCTTACAATTGTGAATACCACCATACAATGATATAAATAAGGGTAGCTAATCCCCTTAACATTCTTTTTGTGGCTGTATCACTTAAGTGAGTCACACGAGCATCTTAACACCTACACAGTTATGAAAACTAAAACGCATCATTAATCTTGAGAGTGTGATGCTGTATTTAAACAAGCACACCCAGCACAGTATGGCAACAATAACAGAGGAGGGGAAGAAGAAGAGATTAATCAAGAAATAAAAAAAATGTCTTAAGTAATCTTGCAAAAGACCTTGGGAATCATTAGACTACAAAATGTAAACACTTTATTCTGCAAACTTAAATGCCACATTACGGGAAGGGGAGGAAGTTAGTTATTTACACACCTGCTGTAGACTGTAATCCATACCTGACTTTTTCTTCAAACAAACGTGAGATAAACATCCCCAAAGCAAGGCCTATGTGGATTTGAACAGCTTGAGACTCATCAGCATTTGGTTTCCCAGGTAACCTGGCAGTCAGTACACTCAGGACTTCCTCAACCTTCTCCTTGCAGGATACAATGAAAACTGGCACCAAGAGAGACAAAGCAGTGGCTGCACAGGAGCGAGCAATAGCACTGGCTGTGTTTTCACCAGAATACGATTTCTAGGACACATTAAAAAAAAAAAAAGATGTTTTTGTTCTTTTTTCCAATTTGTGAGGGAAAACGGTATTTTAGGAATGTAAAAATATACAGCATACAGTACTGTAATTGCATTTCTATTTGGGAGCATATAGTATTTCATGGCTTTGCCTCCAGCAACATTTCCTTTCCCCCCACAACCAGTTTAATAATATGGTAATTGAAAATATACCTTCTAGAATCAAAATAGAATGAGTAAATATGGAATTAAAAACAAAGTGGGTGAGGGAAATAGGAATCCAATAGCTGGTCTGAGCATAAATACATTTCTCTCTTTTCATATTCAGCTTTCTTGCTAAAATATTCAGCAGAGTGATCCAACTCACGTATGTGTAAATAAAAACAGGCATGCGATTCTGTAATTATAGAAAGCCAGGAATTTATCAAGAAGAAAAAAAAAATGCTGCTTTAGCGGTGGGGAAGCATCAAGTCTAGAGTGGAGAAACATCAGCAGATCCTGCAAAATTTTTGGTGGAAAAGCTTCCCAGGAGACAGATTATTCACCACAAAGGCTTTAAATTCCTTTCCATTTTAAAAGCTGAAAGCCCTTTAACTGCCTCTATTTACAAAGCTATAAATAAAAGCTGATTATATGCAATAGCCTACAATATGTGTATTAGCTTATATATAATTATGGGAAGAAAAAGATTCAAATTAGAATGCCAGGTATCCTGTAGAGCAGTGATTTCTACAGGAGGCTTTGTCGTTTGAAATTTACAGACTGAGAAAGAAAAAACATTTTAAAAGATATTGTATTTTGGAAGAGGGAACTGCTGTGAATGAAGTCCCTGGGCTCTGTCTCAAAAATACAATGTATTTTTAAATTGTACCATTTTGGAGGCAGGTGTTTTGGAAGATTGCAACATATTAACTCTAGTACCAACTGAGTCCCTGGATTTCCTTGGCCCTTGGCAGTCTGGCATTATATTTGAAAGTGGTGTTAAAACTGCACTGGTTTTGGTGGTCTGGGCCCTCCCCCGGTGATGACAGAGGACTAGAATTGATATTAACTCTTTTAGATCTATCAGTCTTCAGTACTGTTGCCCTTGATGTTTTGTTGATGTGGCTGGATGTGACCACCCTTTATGGATCAGTTCCTTCCTTTCAGAGAGATTGTAGAGAGAGTTCTTGTACAAATGCTCATTCACCTTGAGCCACCTCTTGCACCTCTCGCAAGAACCATTCTATTAGCCCCCTTCTGTTCAGCCTATGTGAGGCCACTAGGAAGACAGTGAGAGGACTGGAGCTGCGGTTCCATCACATGGCTTACACCCCACTCTATGTTCCTCTCATCTAACCCAAGCTGTGTGGTTTCTTTGCTTTCCCTGCAGACTGGTCAAGACAGAAACATAGATAATGGCAAGGTGATTGAAGCTCAGATCGACGTGATATTATTAGGCAGATGGAAGAACTTAGAGAGGGACAGAAGTTGTGTCTTCCCCTGGGAAAGGAGTATGCTCACCCTTTATCAATGAGGCTCACTGTTATGCAGTGCCCTTGAAGGCTCCTCCTGCAAGGTGTTCTACACAAGGATACCATTTTGAAGATAATCTAGAAAGGAAGCTTTAGCTAATGCAGAACACAATTGCAGTGTACTTAGCAGTGGTATCTGCACGGAACATATGACACCTGTTTCCTGAAGACTACACTGGCTTCCAGTTCACCGCCAGATGCTATTCAAGGGGTTCAGGTTCATGGTTTAGGTTCTAATTATAAGTCTGAAATCAGATAGGATGCTTCTGCTAATAGTCCCTAGATATGAGAGTTGAGCAAGGCATTTTCAGGGGAAGGACCTTGACAGCATAACTCCCCATTCACAGTCAGAGTTATATAACCTACAGAGCATGATTTAAGAGCCATGTTTTTATTCAAACTCAGAATTTTGATTTGTGGTGTGGTGTGAGAATCTATTTAGGTTGATATGCTAAAGTTTTATTGTTAAGTTTTGTACATGCAGGTAGAAATGTTATGGAGGTTAGGGTTGGGTTTTTTAAAAACTGCAAAAAAAAAAAATGAAATAGATACCAATAACTGCTGAAACTCAGAGAAGAAAATTCAAGAGACAGTTGAAGGAAAAAATCTGAGGAAAAAATATAAAAATAAGAAGCAAATTTGCTAAAAAAATAAAATAAAGCCTTCTCATCCTCTCACACATCTTTTTGCAAGAATAGCATCAGTAAAACCAAGATTAAACAATTATTTCATACAATCATCAACATTAAGATCACTAAATCCAAATACCTATTCTCTTGCCCATAATAGTTACTGTTTTACTCTCTTTCTTTATATATATTTTATACTTCTAGACGTACCTGGTAGAACCAAGGGAAAACTTGACCTTTAGCGCGATAGCGACTGTTCACAATACTAAGAAGTGTTTCTATCACCATAGAAATCCAGTGTTTTGTGGGAAGAAAATCAGGTTCGGTCTACAGGTAATGAAAAATGACATAAGCCAATAAACATTAAATAACAGCTTCCAAATATTCATTCATTTCTATTCTTAAACCAGGCCACATTCAAGGACAGAAGACAGATTCAGCAGCTGATGGGCCAGCTATGAAGTATTTAGCTACTCAACAAGGGTCTAATTCTGCCACTCTTACTCACGAGTAGCACATTTTATTCCCATAAATCATTCCATGAAGTTAGCAGAATAAGGTATTATTCAGTGACGGCAAAGATGGCTGAGTCAGGCCCAAAACTAGCAGCAGTACAGGTTAAAAAACACAACCCTAAACTGTTATGGCTCAATATGAGCAAGTAAGTGGCTGTATCAATTCTCCTAGAGCGAGGCATAAATTAAATGTGGAAACAAAAATCATGTATGAAAACTTGAAAATTTTCAACCTGAATGGACAGCATGATATTCTCCAAGATATTATCTTGAAAAATGACATGGGATCTTTAATTTTATGTGGGTAGCCACTATATATGGGCAGACAGGACCACAACTTGTGTCTCAGTCAAACGGTGCCTTTTCATATTCTGTTTAATGGTTTGTGCTGTAGCAAGAACAGAATGTATTAAAACAACAGACGCATAAACAGAACATACACGCAAAATAAACAGTAAACTGAGGTGTCACTATGACACAGGAAGTGCAATTTACCAATGCAATAAATGATGCATGGATTAAAGTGTGCCATGTATGGATGGTACCTCTAACAACGCAGTACCCTGACCCAGGCCCCCCAGTAACAGACTGTAATTTCCCTTTTGGAAATCAGTCCTAAAAAGACCTTTTCCCCTCGAGACAGAAATAAAATGGATAACAGACAATTTTCTCAGAAATAGGAAGCAGTATGTGCCTCAGTCATAACATTGTTAGCAAAATAATAACAAATGTTGTGTGCTTATGTAGTGCTCTCCACCCTAGTCTCTCAAGGTGCTTTACAAAATGAACAAAGCCAGCCTTAAAATATGTCTGGGACACTCTACAACTCAAGAAATGGGCTCAGATACATTGAGACTTGCCAAAGATCCCCTAAAGACTGTGACAGAGCTAGAAATAGAACCCAGGACAGAACAAAGATTATTATTCCACTTGAGAAAAGATGAAAAAAACCTATTGTTTGGAATAGGAAATCACATGGCCCTATTTCAATATTCCATGTTATAACAAGTTAATTTAGTAGCTGTAAGTGGATAGTAGTTGTGGGTGTTCAGGATACAAATATTATATGAATTCACTTGATTGAATTTGTTCTCTGGCACCCCTTATGGAGAAGAACTTAATTCCATTTCCCAGAAGTACTATTTCCACTACCATGACCCAGGAACTTGCAGACAGAACATATGTCATTATATTTTTTTCTCATTAGCTTGATAAGATGTGTTTAAAACCACAGTTGAACAAACATACTGAGATATAGATGTAGTTTTTCCCACAATTCAGAAGTCAGTTCTCTAAGGGGGCTATTTACTAATGCTTCCCTACTTGTTTTCCTGGTAGAACTGACTGGAAAGGCTCCTGAAGGTCACTCATATCAAAAATTCAGTATTGCCAACCCAAAAAGTGCAAAAATTGTGAAATGATAAAATCATGGCTTTCGGGTCTGTTTTCTGATTTTTTTAACTCTTCCTACCCATAATTGTCTGTGGCAATTTACAGTGTTGCCAATTCTTACAAATTAATCACACAATGCAATTTTTGTCCCTGTTTCAGGAGCTCTTGCTAGAGAATCCAACCAGCCATCGTGCTAGGCACTGCACAAACACTTTCATAAGAGATTGCCCTTGCCCCAAAGAGCTTAAAATCTAGTGAAAAGAGATGGGAATGAGTTTGTGATATGGAACATGGAATGGGACACACCCCACACCTCTCATACAGAAACTACCAAAACTTCCATTAGGTGGAAACAACTTTTAACTGCCACTGAGCTGATCTAGAGCCAAACTGGTGACCCATAAGTGAAAAGGCTCTGTAACTCTTTAGCTGGGTCCTCAATTCCCTAATAAGTGCTAATGTCACACCTCTGAGAGTAAGGCTAACTTTCTGAAAACATAAGTTGTTTAAATCAAATTCAAGTTCCAGCCTTCTTTGGAGCTTACATAGGTAGGGTCTTCAACACTTTGGCCACACAGGCAAAATCTCAAACACACACTACTGTAAAATGCTCCACCCTGTTCTGACAGCTGCTATTAACCAAAGTAAAAACACTAAAAATGCAAGAATGAAACAAATATTAACAGGGAGTCCAAATAACTGTGACAAAGATTGACCTAGTAGCAGGATACCATAGTAACCTAATGGAGACTGGGTTTCAGAAGAATCTTCAGGAAGTCAACATGTTGAAAACCAGCTACATGATGGAGACAGGCAGAGTTTTCTGGCATTGGGGCAAGAATACTGGGAGACCACAATGTATCAAGTAAATCTTCATTCCTCTCACTCTGAAGTCCTTTGAGTCTTAAAGATACATAATTTTTTTCACTTTAACCTCCTTAAGGCTTTGCATCATCACCATGTTTTTCATCAATAAAAAGGCTGAATTACTGTCCTTCCAGAGCCTGTCGAAACTGTTCCTAACCTGGACAGAGTGGTCAGTGCAAAACAGTGTGTGGCATTCCCAGCTGCTGGGGCCCTTTACAGTTCTTCCAACCCATACAGATCCAGTGGGAAGGTAATTAACATAAGACAGATTCAGACTACTAGTTTGTGGTGTTTCTATTACACTGAAAAGTTGGGCGTAATTCTACTTTTCACATTTAGCTACAATCCACATTTCCCTCTCCTCCTAGTTATATTTTCTGTTACGTAAATTGTTACAAGCAGCTTCTTGAGCCAAACTATCAATTTGTACTGTGTTACACTGGGAAATACCAGCAACTCATCATCACTTTACTAGCTGAAAAATAGATTCATGTTAATAATGATCTTCAAGCAGAACAGGTGTTCTCCTTTCCTGACCAAATAATGCACCAAGGTTAAGGATTTGAGGTCAACATAAGAAGAATGCCAGTGCCAATACTCTGAGGCAGAGGACACAAGGACTAAAGCTGTGAATGTAATTATTTATATACATAAATCACACACCCACACATACTGTGGATATATCTATTTCTAAAACAAATGATCTTTTCCAGGTGCGAATTTAGAGCTCATGACAAGTGCCAAATTGCTAGTCCCAGAAAGTGAAGTCCTCTATTGAGCTGCAGTACAGGTAGAGCACAGGCAGTGGCACTGCAAACTCTCTCAAAACATTTTATTAAGTCTGATCTGGAGAAAGCAGGTGGGGGAGCCTCAACATCTACTGGATCTTTCTCTGCTCTGACAATACTGACAACAAATGTGTCAACTGTGGTGTTTTGTGTGAGGAGGACACACTCAGATTGAGACCACCAAGCTCATTTCGCACAGAGCAGAGCTAGCAAATGGTCACTACTGAGCAGGACTAGATATGAACAGATGAGAGAGTGAGGGGTTCTGCATTCCATTATCAGACCTCTCAGCCATGCAACCTCCCAGTGCTTTTGTTTTGATTGTAAGTCACATTAAGATGACAAAACAGTGTTTCTAAGGTTTAACTCACCTCTGGTCCTACTTCAGTGTCTGAAGAAAGGCTATTTTCATATTTTGCCACAGCAACTGCAAGGCCAGTTAAAGCTAAGATAGAGTTTCCTTTCACCACTGGGCTGTCCCTATTGAAAAGAATAAACAGTAATTAATGAGACATAAGAGATCGAGATAATGAAACACACTAATAATTGGGAAAGCACATGCCACCAGAGTCCTGTATAGCAAATACCAACCTTTCAGCGAGATTCTCAAAGTTAACAACTATCTCAGATGGTTCACCCACCCAATGGAAGTGCCCCACATCTCACCCTCACATCACAGTGAGATGGGAGGAAACTAAGCTTACTGTTTCAATAGTTTTCTTTCTTCCTTTGTCATCCAAAGCCTAACACAAACATGTGTGTATATGTATATGAGAGAGAGAGAGAGAGAGATAGACTATTGCTGCAACTAAAGAAAGTCTTTTGAAGCTAAATAGTCTGCCTCACACCATTTATATATTTTGCTTTTGCTGAAAAGATCTAAAATTCTGCAACTAGAGTTGTGGCCAGCACATACACTTTTAAATCTGAATTATGCTACAATGCACTAGAGCCACTGTTAGGCACTTTTGAGGCTCTGTGCTTGTGTATGTGCTGGAAATGAGGAAGCGGAAAACTGGGTTTTCATATCCAAGTTTTCCCATCAATTAAAATTTAGATTGCGATCATCTTGATTTTGAAAATTGCTAGGGAACAGGTACTCTTGTGAGCCTTTCCTGCTAAATGCTTTGAGATACTTTTTCTTAAGATTTTCCTAAAATAAAGACATGGGCATTCAGATTATGTCCAGAAAAAGGACTACAAAGATAGGCTCCAAGTACTTCTCTGTCATCCTGTAGTCTATCTTTTAGGTATTAGGTAGAATAGAACATGTGAAATACCATCATACTGGATGCTGATGTAATGTACAGTACTGGTTAGATGAAGTATTCTACATTTCAGTTGCCGTTTTTACACACTGCATCACTGTATTGCATATCCAGAAAGACTGCTCAACTACTACTATAAATATGTACTACTCTGAAAGCTCAAACCCATTCTCCTGTCTTTAGAGATTTCTTTTTGCATCTGAAAATAGTTTTTTGATAAGGCAGATGAGCGTCTTAATGGAATGTCACTAACTTTTCAGCTCTGGGACACTAAACCTAGACCACTCTGGATCAGAGATAGCTAAAATAATTTTGATTAGGTGGCTAGTTCATTTCTCAGAGTATTCTTCTTATGTTACCTTAAATCACTTCCGAATTTATTGATGTAGTCATTTATTTTTATGTCTATTGCTAGTGACAGTGGTTGCACTCTAAAATGCCTCAACTGTCAGACACTTTTAAACTGCCCCCCCTCACCTGGATGCCTTAAATTCATAAAAAACATTCTACTGTCATAGAACAAAATATCAGCCTGTCAGCATAAAGACCAATGCCACAGACCCACAAACCACTAGGTTCTATGAGAAAAAACAAAAATGTTTCAAAGACTAGACCATTCTATCCTGGAATTTACTGAAGTTAGACTAGGAAATAAACACAAAACATAGCAAAAGCTCCAGCGGCATGGTCTGTCCATGGGAAATCCCTTGAAGCTAGCCATGAAGAGAGTGTAACCCCAGGAACCAACAGTGAAAAGTTACCTAATGAACTAATTTGACCAGTGAACTATTTTCATGACAAAAACTTTGTACTTTCTTTTTCAATACATTGGCTCTTGTTACTTAGAGCCAGGAAATGACATTCTGAGAGTTCATTATGTCCCTGTATTGTATCTTGCTCTTTATAGTAGTTACACAAAGGATTTCAACCTTTACTTCTCTAACTTTTCATAGGCATTTAATGAGTAGCTAAAATATAGAGTTCAATTTTAATCAGTTCCTCTTCTTCATCTCCTCCTCTACCCAGGAGTGAACTACCTGAAGGTAGATTGGCAGGGAAGCATGTGGATGTGAACATTTCCAACAGCAGCATTCACCAAGAACAGTTGCATGGTTAAAAAGGCAAAAACCTTCAAAATCTTTACAGAAAATTTGAATATCTAGAACTGCCAGAACTCTGAATTTCCCAATATATTTAAGACTAATCTTCTCTGCAGCTCAAGCAGGTACCACCCACTGAATCAGCCTATGATAAATAGCAATGTGGTTCTATCACTGCTGCGATCTCCATGGCAGAGCCAGTGATTTTAAGAGTTATTTTTATCCAGATTCGTGGCTTTTGGCACCTGTCTGGTCGAGTACAAGAAGCTGTTATCCAGGTTAACCAACCATAGAGCACAGTGAAGTGATGTCCACCAATGAAGTACGTGTACGCAGGGAAGAAATCAAGCTACTAGCAACCATTCCTAAAGCCTTTCAGTGGTGTTTGAGGGTGGGACCAGAGTGTTCACTGCTAACCCAATGCCATGAGCTAACATGCCAGTGACCGCCTGAAAATATGTATCTGCATCTACCTTCAGGAGGGAGAGGGGTCTGGACACAAGCAGGAACCCTTGAGAGTGAGAGACAGTGGGTTAGCTTTGAAGAGGTGATGCTCCACCCTAGAGACAGCTGAGAGGAATAAAATTATAAAAAGAATGACTTAAGGAAAATTCTTTGCCATACAAGATTGGACCAATAGTGCATAGAGTGGTATTCTGCCTTTTGAGCAGCCTATGCCTAATTCTTCAGAAAATGCACCTAGCCAACTATACAATGCAGTACACGGAGGGAAAGCTCCTATCCTTATACTTGTGGCTATGAGTTGAAATCACATCAATAGGAAATATTGGCTTGCATCACCCACAATGAAAAAAATACAGAGGAAATCACTCTCTAGCCTCTAATAAAGGAACAATTCTTACTTTGAAGCACCCTTGATAACATCAGTCAGCATGTCTCTGACCCTGCAGGAGAGACAAAAAGTAAAGTTAGCACATTATACTTTACATTGCAGCATGAACTTGTCCATGACACATTTTCCCTCTAGTCCTCCAATTGACCACTCTATGTTAGCAAACATCACATCCAATACTTATTTTATAAAACTTAGTGTAAACTAGTAAAAATTGTCACATACCATCTTGCATTTTTCACATCCTTAAATCCATTAAAACTGTCCTCTAAAAAGGCTCTTATCTGATTTTATACTACAATGTGGAAAATACAAGTTCATGCAGCAGCCATAAATCTGATCATCTAGCTATTGCAGATAGCTTTCCAGGTCGATGTTCTACGCCCCAGCCTAATAAAATGAAAATATTCTACAATGGAGAACTATAACAATTTATCCAACATTCATTATAGTCCAGAACACAACTATGTGTGGTTAAGCTATCAGGTGGTGCAATAGTCTAAATTTATTGAAATGAAAGCTATAGGGTCACTTAGAATACTTTCTATGTTACTGTGATCAATTTACAACACATTACTTGACTTCATTTGTTTAGTTTTGCATTCATATCCAGAGGATGAGCTGCCATAAATCTTTTATACTGACAAGTTTTTTTTAATATATAAATCCCATACACCACAATTTACAATATGAAGTAGTAAATCTTAACTAGGACTGTCATCCAACCCAAAAAGATATCTATCCTTCAATCAAATTTCTACAACACATAATAAAATGTTTGAAATTGTAGCTATAAAACAAAGTGTATAGGTCACTCATACTTTAAAGAATAAAATCAAGGTTTCATTTTAAGCACAATATTTGTTTTTGCACAGTCACTAAAAAAACCCCACTTAAGTTGAAAGCATTTACACTGAATGGCACAACCAATATAATGGTGCAAAAATGTATTAAACAGTAAAATTCAGTATTGCCCTCTCCACTATAGCAAACGTCAAGGTCAGATTTCAGGGTGGGCAATACTGATAAATACCTAATAGGTCCTCTGAGTGCTGGCCCCTCCTTTTACCCTCATCTGATCCTGTAAGGTGCACAGCACCCTCAAATCTCTTTTTAAGTCAATAAGAATTGAGGGTATTCTGCACCTTACAGGACTGAGCCCGTGAGGAAGGGCCTAGAGAGACTCAACCTTACAACTGGGAGCCCAGTTCCTTTGCTGACTTAGCACTTGCATCTGCACCTGCACAAATTTAAATCACTTTTTAAAAAACTGTTAAATTTAATAGCTTAGGTTAAGCAATTACAAACACTGGGGAGAAGAGGTTAAGGCAGATTTTGTTGGTCCCCTGACCTAAAAAGCAATTTTGCAAGAACGTCTTCTACTTCCACCCTACCTCAGAAGTTCTAGGAGAGCATACACTTTTCTCTTTATACCTGATGGGATACAGAGGATCAAATACAGTGCCATTGGCAAAAATCTGCTTCAAGAGAAGAGAGAATCAGGCCTATTTTATCTACCATATACTCAGTGCTTAGTTGAATAAAATAACTAAGAAATTACACTTTCCTTATCAAATATGACTTTATACCAACTCACGGTTTAAATTTATTGTAAGGACCATCCTGACTGTGTATATGTGAATGTGTACACATACATATAAAATACAGAGAGAGAGAGAGAGAGAAATAAAGACATCTATAATAAACACATGACTAAATCCTCATCTGCTGGAAAAGCAACATAGCTCCATTGACTTCAATGGAACTACACTAATATACACCAGCTGAAGATTTGGACGAGAGTACACATCTTTAAACACACACACACACACACACACTCCCTTAAGTTTTATATTGTGCCCATCATCATGGTATCTGAGAATGCACCCCCAACCTCCCTCCTCCAAGACTGTCGTTACAAGAAATGTAAGCCTTGACATGACAAAGTTATACTCAATAAAGACAGCATAATTTTTGTCTCTGTTACTCAATTATGCACTGAGCAAAAGGTTTTCATATAACAGGATATAAAATAATTGCAGTTTTCAATTCCTTCCAGCTACTGTCACTACTGCAAAGGGTTAGCTACCTGTGAATATAAGCATCCTTACCTACACTCTCTTCTCTCTATCTTTTTTAAAATTAGAGATCATATCTGTTTTTTCTCATTAGCACTCATACTGATGATTAAACTTGCAACATTAAAGCCTTTGAAGTATCCCCACCCTTTTGCCCCCCTCACTTGCAGTTACAAGTGATGAGGAGCAGACAGTCATTCTCTTACCAGAGCCAGGCTGTAAATTGTTTGTACTGCACCTCTTCAGGATCCTCTTTTCCATGTTTTAACTGCATCTCCAGCTCTGCCTGTCTCCCCTGCAGAATCACAACATAAATCAGAAGGAGATCTTGCATGGGTAATAATCCTGAGATTTCTGCGGGGAACACTTGTGCAACAGATGTAACCTTTCCCTTGAGATCCATATCATGACTGGACCTAATTGTTCTTGATACTACATCCCATTGTAATATACAATGTATTAAGTGAAAGAATTGCAATTTTGGATTCTGGGAAGAGTGGAGTGGTTGCTATAGATAGAAATAATGGCTCCAGCTTCCTAACGATGGAAGGAAACTTATTCCCTCATAACAAAGAAGCATCAACAAACTTGTATCCCACAGGGAAGAAGATTTGGAAACCAACTACCTCAAAGGTACAACGACAGCAAAACCTATTGTTTACTTAATGCATCATTTAAACCAGAATTTCTCAACCTTTTACTCACTGTCCTCTTTGCAATCCTTCATGCCAGTTCTAGCTGTGCCTCAAAGGATGTGCTATTGGATTCACCACAGTGGTTTATGGGATGCTTTTGTGATCTGAGAAGGACTGATTGGAAGATGTTAAGCAAATCTGTTCAGTAGGAGACTGAGAATGGGTGTCTAGGTTTAGCTTCCACCCCCAAGACAACCACTGATTTTATTAAGTCTTGATGGAAAAAATATATGAGCACAAGCACTGTTTTTCAAACATTCAACATCTTTATGTGGGATAATCATGAAAACTTGAGAACACAAGAGAGTAAACTCTGCAAAATCCAAATGGCATTCACAAAATGTGAATCAGGGCTTGTCTACACAAAGAGTTAGTGCATGGCAAGCCACGGTGTGAATCTTCGGCGCGCTAGCTTGCCACGTACTAACTGACCACGTGGACCCTGCTGCTGCTGCGCACTAGAAGTTCCACAGTGCGCTTAAAAGGGGAGTACGTCAAAGCACACCATGGAACTTCTAGTGCACAACAACAGAATCCATAATATGTTCTGACCCACTTCCATTTCAAGCACACTGTGGAACTGTTAGTGTGTGGCAGCAAGGTCACATGGCCAGTTCGTTTGCTGTAGATTCACATTCTGTCTTACTATGCACTAAAGCTCCTTACAAACAAGCACTAAGACTAAATAAAGAAGTCTGATCATAGTAGTTATAGACAGGACCAGGAGTCAGGTCTCCTACGTTCCATTCCCAGCTCTGCCACTGATTCTCTATGATCCAGATTCAGCAGCGCATCTAAACACATCCTCAACTTTAAGCACATGCTTAAGTCCATTCCAATTCCACAAAGCACTTAAGCATGTGTTTGTGCACATTGCTAAGTTCAGGCCTGTATGACCGTAGTCACGGTGGGAATATTTACACTGCAGCTGGGAGTGTGCCTCCCAGCCCCAATAAACAGACTCGAGTGGGGCTTGAGCCAACCTACTAAAAATAGTGAAATGGATGTTGCTGCACCAATGGAGGCTCAGGCTAGCCACTCGAGTGCAAGCTCACTTGACCCCTTGGGTCCGAGCTTGGGTGGCGAGCCTGAGTCTCTGCCAGTGCAGCAACATCCACACTGCTATTATTAGCACACCTGTCCGCTAGTACAAGATTGTCTACCTGGGCTAGAAGGTTCACTCCCAGCTACAGTGTAGACATACCTTTAAGGCTCAATCCTGCAAGGCACTTAAGCATGTACACATACTCTCAATGGGACTTCTCAAGTGCTTAAAGCAAAACACATACTTACGTGTTTTGCTAGATTGGGTATAGAGTGCTCAGCACCTTGCAGGACTGAGCCCTTAGGCTTTCTGTGCCTCAGTCCTCAATATGTAAAATGGGAATATAACTCCCTCACTTGCATACTATGGTAACTTATATTTGTAAAGGGCTTTGACAGCATCAGATGAAAAGTGCTACAGAAGCATAAGGTATAATTATTATTCTAGTTCTCTGAAAAGAGGAGCAAGTAAATACATGGGAGCAGACTTCAAAGGTACAACGGTATGCTTCAATGCTCCAGTAAATGACAGAAAATCCTAGAGAGGATTTCAGAAGCAGAGCTGGTAAAAGCTGTTCTTCTCACAAAATCTTAGTGTTCGAGGTAGACGGATGAAAGAGAAGGATAACAAAATATAGGCAACAAGTACTACTCTCTATAGTTAAGACCTAAAATTACTATTTAAAAAGTAGGTTTGCTAGTTCTGTTTTGTAACAAGGCTGTGTTTAAACCTGACATTTTGTGCTAACTAAAAAGTGATTTGCTTTGAAAATGGTATCTCTAATGGTCCCTCATTCATGTATAAATTCTGTTACATTACCTCACCAAAGACGATACTTCCATGAAACGTTTGGAATTTACTCGGCAGTCTGAGCTGCTCAGACTATGGGTATGTCTACACTACGAGAGTAGTTCGATTTTAGTTAAATCGAATATGTGCAATCGATATTAGAAAGTCGAACGTGTGTGTCTACACTAAGGACAGTAATTCGACTTTGTCAGTCCACACTACCAGGGAAAGCGTCGACATTGGAAGCAGTGCACTGTGGGCAGCTATCCCACAGTTCCCGCAGTCCCCGCTGCCCAGTGGAATTCTGGGTCGAGCCCCCAATGGCTTCTGGGTAAAAAATTGTGGCGAGGGTGCTTTTGGGTAACTGTCGTCATCCGTCAGTCACTACCGCCCTGCCTCCCTCCCTGATAGCGCCGGCGGGAAATCAGTTCGCGCACTTTTTGATCAGTGACAGCGCGGACGCCACAGCACTGCGATCATGGATCCCGCTGCGACCATCGCTGCAGTTGTGGCCGTTCTCAACGCCTCGCACCTTATCATACACCTTTCCCAGAGGCAGATGCAGAGAAATCAGGCGAGGAGGCTACGGCAGCGGAGTGAGGGCCTGAAGTCGGAGAGTAGCACAGAGCTGTCAGAAACCACGACACCCAGCGCCGAGGACATCACGTTTGCAATGGGGCATGTGGATTTTGTTGAACGGCGATTCTGGGCCCGGGAAACAAGCACGGACTGGTGGGACCGCATAGTGCTTCAGGTCTGGGATGAATCCCAGTGGCTGCGAAACTTTCGCATGCGGAAGGGGACTTTCCTGGAACTTTGTGAGTTGCTGTCCCCTGCCCTGAAGCGCAAGGACACCCGCATGCGAGCAGCCCTGACTGTCCAGAAACGAGTGGCCATAGCCCTCTGGAAGCTTGCAACGCCGGACAGCTACCGGTCAGTCGCGAACCACTTTGGCGTGGGCAAATCTACCGTGGGGGTTGTTGTCATGCAAGTAGCCAAGGCAATCGTCAAGGTACTGCTGTCAAAGGTAGTGACCCTGGGAAACGCGCAGGCCATCATAGATGGCTTCGCTGCGATGGGATTCCCAAACTGCGGTGGGGCTATAGATGGGACTCACATCCCTATCCTGGGACCGGGCCACCAGGCCAGCCAGTACATCAATAGAAAGGGCTACTTTTCAATGGTGCTGCAAGCACTGGTGGACCATCGGGGACGGTTTACAAACATCTACGTCGGATGGCCGGGCAAGGTTCATGACGCTCGCGTGTTCAGGAACTCTGGTCTGTTTAGACGGCTGCAGGAAGGTATTTACTTCCCGGACCACAAGATAACTGTTGGGGATGTGGAGATGCCTACAGTGATCCTCGGGGACCCAGCCTACCCGCTAATGCCCTGGCTCATGAAGCCCTATACTGGCGCCCTGGACACAGAAAAAGAACTGTTCAACTACCGGCTGAGCAAGTGCAGAATGGTAGTGGAGTGTGCTTTTGGCCGTCTCAAGGGGAGATGGAGAAGCTTACTCACTCGCTGTGATCTCAGCGAAACCAATATCCCCATCGTTATTGCAGCTTGCTGTGTGCTCCACAATCTGTGTGAGAGCAAGGGGGAGACCTTTATGGCGGGGTGGGAGGTTGAGGCAAATAGCCTGGCTGCTGATTACGCCCAGCCAGACAGCCGGGCGATTAGAAGAGCCCAGCGGGACGCGCTGTGCATCCGGGAGGCTTTGAAAGCCAGTTTCAAGGCTGAGCAGGGTACCCATTGACTTTTAAGTTTGTGGACACAGAAGCTGAACTTGCCCCCGTTTCTTTACCCAGTTGCCGTCGACTATCCTCTCCAATTACATACCCCCTTCACCCCCTTCCCAAAAAATAAAATCTGTTCTGTTTTGTTCATGGACACCGTTGTCTTTATTACTGTTTTCACGGGAATGTTTTAAACCTGGGACGCAGACTGTGGCGGGGAGCGGGTTTAGGGTTGTGATGCAAATGATGCTTCTAAACTCCAGGAATGACAGGCTCCGCGATGGTGGACTGGTTGTTTCAACGGAGCCTGCCAGCCCTCCTGGCCGGGACTGCGTGTATGTGTCGGCTATGTGACTGTCTTGCAGGGGGAGGAGGGTTACAGATCCCCTGCTGCGCGGCTCTGTGATCCAGGGTAAGGACCGCTGCATAAGATCTGTAACTGCCCTCCCCCGCCACCAAGTCACAGAGCAACACCACCGCCCCCACCACACAGAACATGAAAACCACCTCCCAGACTGACCAGGATAACTAGTCACTGCACTGTATATGTGCCCTGCTGCTGCACCTGCCCCCCTGCTAAAGGTGACTGTCCTGTCCAATGACCAAGGCCCTTCCCCCCCCTCCAGACAGACTCCCCTCCAAAAGAAGAGGATGGAAACAGAAATGAACAGAAACGTATTCTTTATTAACAACCGCACATGGAACGGGGGGGTGAAACTTGGACGGGGTCTTGTGTGAGGCGGGTAGGAAAGGACTTTTCAAATTTTGGGGAATGAGAGCCTTCTAGTGGTAGAGCAGTCCGCAGGGGTGGAGTGAAATTTTTCCCGGCCCCTTCCACCCCTCCGTGTTTGGACTTTGGGTGAGGGGGGTATGGGACTTGGTGGCGGGGCAGGGCAGTTACAGAGAGACTGCAGCGGGGCTCTCTCCTCCTGCCTCCGGTCCTGCAGAACATCCACAAGGCGGCGGAGCGTGTCCGTTTGCTCCCTCATTAGTCCAAGCAGCGTTTGAGTAGCCTGCCTGTCCTCCTGTCGCCACCTCTCCTCCCGTTCAATGTTTGCCCGGTGCATTTGGGACAAGTTCTCCCTCCACTGTGTCTGCTGGGCTGCCTGTGCTCGGGAGCATTCCATTAGTTCAGCAAACATGTCTTCCCGTGTCCTCTTCTTCCTCCTCCTAATGTGCGCTAGCCTCTGGGCAGATGTGGCTGTGGGAATTGGAAAAAGGGAGTGAATTCCTGAGACAGAGCAATGTATCTGTGAACAGAGAACATAGTCTTTCTCTGTGAACAAGACCATGCAGAGCACCTATCACACGCGCACTGAGGACAAGGTCGAATTTTCGGCCCTCGCCTACAGTGCCTGCGGTCTTGCTGTGGCGAGCTGAGGAGCAGGGCAGGACACCGGACTTTGTCTAGATGGCAAACATGGTAAGCCGTAGACTTGTGGCCGCTTAAAACTTTAAGAGTGGCACTGGCCTCCTTTCACATAGAAAGCAATGCGAGTCTCTGCTGGCAGCAATCCTGCAAGCATGAACTCTGGCCCTGTCCCAGCCCCTCGCGGCTGTAAACCGCGTGGCTGTAAACCGGCGGTTGCAGTTCTGTAAAGGGACGGGCAAGCAGTCCCAATACTAACTTTCCCCTACCTAATTCACAGCAGGGAGTCATGCCTGACATCACCCTCCTGAAGGTCTCCGAGAGCCAGAAGGAGAAGATGCTCCGGGACAGCCTGCAGAAACCGGGGCCATTTGCTGCACTGCTGTGCAAGGCCATGATCCCGGAGTACCTGCTGGCGTTGTGGCAGGGAAACGTGTCCTACCACGGGGGGCCTAATAAGCTGTCCCTGCCCAGGAACCTGCTGATGAGGCTTGAAAAACACCTGCAGGAGGTGTATGAGGAGTTCTCCCCGGAGGATGTCGCCTCGATCCCCGGTTACATTGACCAGTTCTTGGCTTAGGTGCCCTTGGAGGGACAAATGACTGCAGGGTTTTGGGCACTATAATCATGAAGCGGACATTGTGAGATTTTTTTAAAATGGTTCGGACTATATATTGAGGCGCCCAAAGACGGAGTAATCATGATACACTTTGCACTGATTCCCCTTTTGTTTGACTTTCCTGTTTACATGTTTTTAAGCACTTTACCCACTGTTAATATTTTCAATCTTCCTGTTTTGTTGCAAATAAATGTTTACATGTTTTAAAGCACTTTAGCTACTGTTAATATTTTAAATATGCCAGTTATGTTGTAAATAAATGTTTGGATATTTAAAACACTTACTGCTTGATCCTTCCCCTGAATCTGTGTCTGGGGTAACGGCTGGGGAGGGTTGGTAGGGGATCTCTGTCAGGGTGATGAAGAGCTCCTGGCTGTCGGGCAAATCAGCGTTGTAAGCGCTGTCTACTGCCTCGTCCTCCTCATCTCCTTCCTCCTCTTCCCCGTCCGCTGAGGAACCGGCCGCGGACAATATCCCATCCTCAGAGTCCACGGTCAGGGGTGGGGTAGTGGTGGCGGCCGCACCTAGGATGGAATGCAGTGCCTCGTAGAAACGGGATGTGTGAGGCTGGGATCCGGAGCGTCCGTTTGCCTCTTTGGTCTTCTGGTAGCCTTGTCTCAGCTCCTTGATTTTCACGCGGCACTGCGTTGCATCCCGGCTGTAGCCTCTCTCTGCCATGGCTTTAGAGATCTTCTCATAGATCTTTGCATTCCGTCTTTTGGAGCGCAGCTCGGAAAGCACGGACTCATCTCCCCACACAGCGATGAGATCCAAGACTTCCCGATCCGTCCATGCTGGGGCCCTCTTTCTATTGGATTGCACGGCCATCTCTGCTGGAGAGCTCTGCATCGTTGCCACTGCTGCCACTGCTGCTGAGCTCGCCACGGTGTCCAAACAGAAACTGCGCTTCAAACTGCCCAGACAGGAAAAGGAATTCAAATTTTCCCGGGGTGTGGCTGGTCAGAGCATCCGAGCTCGGACTGCTGTCCAGAGCGTCAACAGAGTGGTGCACTGTGGGATAGCTCCCGGAGCTATTACCGTCGATTTCCATCCACACCTAGCCTAATTCGATATGGCCATTTCGAATTTAGCGCTACTCCTCTCGTTGTGGAGGATTACAGAAATCGATTTAAGGAGGGCTCTATGTCGAACTAAATGGCTTCGTGGTGTGGACGGGTGCAGGGTTAATTCGATATAACGGCGCTAAATTCGACATAAAAGCCTAGTGTAGACCAGGCCTATGAAAGTGTCCAGTATCACTTGACATACATGGGGAGAAAACATGAATCATCCCTGATAGCAGGACAAAGCCAACCATACATTGCTTTTGACAGGGAAGCTATTTATTGCTACAATTTTATAGATTGGAACCTCTGTGGTCTGGAAATCAGGCTGCATAATCTCACTGGAACAGATTCTCTGGTCAAATTTCCAGTACTTCCTGCTTTGGGGTGGGTCAGAAATACTGCCAGTATAGTCTCTCTTATAATACGACAGCATTTCTCTTTCTAGTCCTGACTGAAACAAGGGATTACAAAGAGAAAGGGGTGTGTGTGTGTGGAGAAAAAAGACTTATATGAAACTTTTTTTTTTTGGAAGGGGAGCTCAGTTTCTTTTCTATCCAGATTGTCCCACTCTCCAGTATTTTCATACAATTCCTTTCAGTAATGAATAATTTATTAAAATTCAAGGTCAGAGCCCAAATTCTAATAGTGATACACAGTCTGAACCATTGACTCCAGTGGGACTCTGAACAGGAGTAAGCCTAGGAGTGTCAATTCTTGAGCAGGAACCAGACCTGTGCAAAATTTGCCTTCATCAGACGCTGGCTGTGGCTGAACTCTTATCAACCTTTAACCTGAAGACTTGCCTTATGTTTATTTAATTTTCTTGCATTCAAGTTGAAATGCAGAGTCTTTCTAAAAAAATGTTGATATTTGCAGGGAAGTCCTTGATTGTAAAACTGAAAATACACAAAACACCACACAACTCAAATTACCTGTAAAACTGCATGGTATGTTCTACTCATAAATCCCAGCCAGCACTGAGGAAGCAGGAGAGAGCGGTGCCATTCAGAAGGCTGGATACTAACCTGCATGACAAACCGAACAGGACTTAAGTTATATTAGAATTAATTTAACAAGAATGTGATTTACATCCATCGCTAGCATTTTAAGAATAAAGACAAATGATCTTTTTTGTACTGTACTTAACTGTCCAAAGAAAAATAAAATACTAAAGCTAAAGACAATCTAGCTAACTGAAGGAGTACTTGAAAATTTTTGAATAGAATGGTATTAAGTTTAATGGGTCAAACTCTGCTTCAGCCACACAATTGAAATGCCACTGAATTCAATTACAATTTCTGCAGTGTCATGCAAGTTACAGTGCTTTACAAGCATAAGACAATGTCCATATGCTTAGAAGAGTTTACAAATTAATAGGTTGATCCTACAAACACCCAAGTACAATACTCACTGCTATGATTAGTTTACAGCAGCACTTAGATACTATGCTGATGGATGCTATTTCAATATTCAAATACTATTGAATTGATAAATTGATCCCAGTGAGGTCAGTGCATTATTCCCAATAGGAAGCACTACACTTAGTAGCGTTGGCAGGTTTGGGCCCTAAACTAAACATATAACAAACAAGGGATGCAACAGAATAGAGAGTGATTTAGTTTGTTTTTATTTGCAATTGTGGTTTGGCTTGATAGTTCCAAATTCGTTTGTTTTTTCTTTAAATTCAAGTTCTATTTTAGAAGTGCTATGTTACACACAAGAACAGAAGTAAATGACAAAAATGGAAATTAGTTGTGGCAGGTTAATCAAAGTAGCGAGTTTTAAGGAGGGATGGAAGGTGGGGTTATTAGTCAAGGTAGCTGCAGTCGGGCAACAGAGTAGATTTGGACCCAATCTTTATAGACAAGCATTTTTTTAAACAAAGGAATTTATCTATGAAATATTCTAGCTTAAAACTCAGATTGGAAATTTCACAGCTGAAATCAAGACAAGATAAGTGGTCTTAATAACAACAACTTCATTTTCTACCCATTGGTAAATTGGTATCCGGCTGTTCATCTCCGCAGAGCCTGCCTCTGGTAACCATTTGTGCAGCTTAACAACAGTTTGTTTACTAAAGCTGTTGTACTGCACCAGAAAGTAGCTAGCTACACTGTAATGGGATTGCTCAAGTGTTCAGAACTAAGCATATGCTTAAGTGCTTTGATGGACTGGGGCCTAAATTTACAGAATCATGAGCCCCAATCATAGGTAAAACATAGCAATGAAAAATTCTTGCCAAAGAAACTGGAATAATTTAATTATGTTGGGGTATCATTAAAAGCAACTAAATATCAAGACCCCAAAACCACAAGCACCTCAAAATCTGTAACAGAAAAAAAACCTGACAAGGTTTGGAAATACACAAATACAAGGTTCTGGAGTTTGAGTAATAAAAATCCCCTAACATATGCTTGCAGAAGATAAAGAAGTGTTAACATTAAAGAATCAGAGTACCCTCCACCCCATCCCTCAATAGATTAAATGGTAGAAAAGGGTAACACATGTATACACATACGCACACACAAAGAGAAATAAAAATGAAGGATTGTTAATTATAAGATTAAGAGCTTTGAAAGCTTTTTTTAAATTACGGATAGTGAATGAGTATAGATAAGGTAACATTTAGGTCAAGACCTTGCCTGACCTGAGTGTGTTTTTGCCAATTCTTTTTTATATAGATTGATGATTTGTTTAAATTTATATTGTGTATCATATTGAAAGTAGTAACTAAGAGGTACAAAAATAAGTAATGATAATTAACCCCTCCACACACCTTTTTCTGGATGACTCAGAATAACATGACCCAGAAACACCAAAACCAGCAGGAAAAATGCAGAAGTTGCATAAAGTTTGGACATGCGTAATGTATGGGTTACATAAAAAAAAAAAAAAAAATCAAGTGGTGATATGCTAAAAGCCAACTGGATAAAGATTAAATAATTTGTAATATGAAGATTTATAAGGATCCAAGTGAACATGGGCCCAAACTGGAGAAACACTGCACCAGAAACTGAAGGATGGGACTGAAGGACCAGACCAGGAGATCAGGGGAGGCGACAATCAGCATGGAAGGACTTCTCAGTGCCTTTTAATGTGGTAACTTGGGCCCATTTACCTATTCTGTCTTGTCTATCTTAAATTTATGACCAGACACTAAGTAACAATAATTCTGTCTGAAATTGTATAAATAAAGGCGAAAATTGATTAAGCCTAAATTGGGTTTACTTCTGACTCAGTTTCCCACCCTACATACCCAATCATCAAGACCCTTAGACTTCTCTGAATGACATTTTTAATAAAAATGAACGTTAAAGAAATTTTGGTTTGTTAGAATTTACAAGTTTATAGAAAGGAGTTTACTAAACAAGCAGATAAAATACTAACAAACTAAATGGTACAATACTTTTCTCTCTCTGTTTAGCACCTTAATTATAACAACATTTTATTAAAAGAAGATGGAGGATCACGGTTTGGTTCCCTCACTACCACCTTTTTAACAGCAGTGTTTTCCAGACCACAACAAAAGCAAGCTCTGTAATTTAAATGACTGCTGTGCATTGTTATGTCTCACAATATTCCATGGTGGTCAGAAAGAATTAATTTTTGTTGCTGCTAGTGTCCAATTATGTCTACTGTCTGCCTTTACCAAAAACATAAAAAATTGTCATGACAGCCATTGGAGTCCACTGGAAACAAGTTATTTAATATCAGAGGTTTCCAGGGTAATACATTTTTAATAAAGGAAAAGGAAACATGTCAGGCAGGGTGAGATGGGATATATTTCCATATCCACTTTTTAAGGTCTATACTTTTCACTTTTAAATTAAAAGAACATGCCAGATTCTCTGTTACACATACCAACACCAGGCATGTCATACCTAGTCTAAAGCCTACCTACAGTAAACAATGCTGTGAGGCTTAATCCCAGAAGGTTATTATTACTCTTTCTGCTTACACAGACTGTAGCCACTGCTCAACATGAAAAGCATTCCAAAGCTCTATGAACCCAAACACCTCCTTTCTACACTATTGGCACATCCATTGGTCTTCTCCTCGCCTTTGGCGTGGAAAGCATAACCAAGATAAGTACCTGAGTTCAACTACATCATCATTTATCTTCTCACGTCCCTGAAGTTGTCCTTGATTCTTTTGCATTTCCCTTGTCTTATGTCGTTAGTTTCCTCATGGACTACAAAAAGGGGATGTTATCCTTTATTTTTTAAAAACAATGCCCACACAAAAGCTGAGTGCCTTGCCAATAATCAGACTTACAATAACCACTGGCAAAATTAATATTAAAACACAAATAAATTAACTCCAACAACCAGCAGTTTTAGATAATCAAATGGAGATAACAAAAAAGGAAAAAAACTCCAGAAAAGCCTCTTACCTCCAAAACATACCCTCATTCTTCCCCCAAACAAACAACACCCTACCTCAGTATTAATAAAGATGCTATTTGTCTGTCTTGTCACATCTCTGATCTTGTCTCTTCCTCATTAGAGGATCACCAATCAGTCTAGTTTATCTTTTCTTCTCCAGTGGCTCTCTTTAAATAATTATTTATTTTGAGTTCTGGCTTGATGTCTGTCTTTAGTCTCTTCTCAATATGATCCCCTTCAAATTCTTCAGAGAGAGAGAAAGAGAGAGAGAGAGAGAGAGAGAGAATAGCTATTTCCTTCCATGTTAATATTTTCTTCCATCATCTTCCTCCAACTTGATCTCATTTGTGGTCTCAGTCTGCTGCATCTTTGTGATTTATCCTGTTCAACTTCCCTGGTTTCCCTTAATTTCAACTGCAGTCCTTCCACCTTGTCTTCTAGTGTAGAAATCAGCTTATATAGCCCTGCTTGATTCTGTGCTGATTGAAGCAAAAGGGGAAACCCAAACTGACTTAAATGAGAGTAAGAGCAGGCCTTTATAATCCTCTATGTTTTCATGGAGGAGGAACAGGAATGCTGTTCGTAATGTGCTTTGATATGTTTGAATCAAAAGCACTACCGAAGCATAAAGAATTATCAGCAGAATATAGTGCCTTCCAACTGTAAATCATCTTTATGCACCAGCATCATGTTGTCAGAGTTCTCTGAATAAAGTTGCTTGAAGAGTATTCAGTGAAAAAAGCCCAGCATATATAAGATTTTTTGTAAAAAAAAAAATCTGTGAAGCTGCCTTCGCTTTGTGGAAATATTCTGTATTTAAAAATATTAAACATATATTACTTTGAATAACTCTCAGTCTCTGTTGAGAATCTGCAAGAGAATCAGGGCTGATGTTCTTTACTCTTGCTCAGAAGTCGGACACTCAAGTCAAATGGATTTGTTTCTGTTCCCTCGCTTGATGACCATAGCTTTTTATAAAGAGCCCTGGTGGATTTAATACACTCAACATTGGATGTACCATCCTGATGACCTCTGAAACGTTGTGGATTTATAAGTACTAACAGGCTTGGATGATGCTGGATCAAACTAGAGCCCTAATACTAGCAAATTCTTTGTGAATACGTAATTTTGGTATTCGACCATGGGACAGGTCTTTTGGAGCCCCTGCAAGGGATCATGGAGCTCTGCCACACCTTGCTCCAGTGGTGTTCTTAGGAAGGTCCTGCCAAGCCAGGCAGCCTGAAGTTTGGAGGAGAATTCCCAGCTTAGATTTCAGCAGCAGCTCAGGTAGACACTACCAGCAGGGAGCCAGCTACATGCAGCTCAGTCTATTTAGGCTTAACACCTTAAAATAAGGGTGTTTTCTCTGTCAGATGAGACACAAGCAAAGAAGTTGTGCAGGGAGCTCTGGGAAAATACAGGAGACGCTACCCTCTATGATTTTGTACTTTTCCGGGTTTGTATTTTTTTAGTTAGCTATTTGTAAAAGTGAGAGGCAAGAATGCAGCTACAGACTCCTGTAAAACTGGTGTCAATTTGGGTAAAACCAGAAGCCATGCAATAAAACCCAAGCCAGAGAGGGGATTTGGATACATTTTCTCTCTCAGCATTTGCCCTGCTATGGACCATCCTTTGTGAAC